ATCAAAGCACTATCAAAGCATTTTTGACTCGACTCGGCTACCAACGCACTATAACAGAAATAATTGAATACTTCATCAATATAAAAACTGTCATGTTTAATCATTAACACTGTCTCTACCATAAAAAGATTTTGTCTATTTCGCTTCACAAATCCATTTTGTGGAAAAAGATTTGTGAAGCGAAATATAAAAATTTTGTGACTTGGTATCCTTCTGTGTCCACCTGTGTCCGCCTGTGTCCATCTGAATGGACACAGGTGAGCAATTTCGTTTCACAATCTAACTGAAAAGTAGAAACTAAAAGTATCTTTAGTTACACGCGCGTAGCGCGCTCACAAAGCGGTCTGATCTGATCAACACCTTGCTTCATACTCAATTCTTCATTCCCGCATTCCATTCCACTCATTCCACTCATTCCTCATCTGTACTCATTCCGTACTCAAAGGAAAATAACGCGCTTGAGGGAAGCTAACAATTGATCAAGCTCACTAAGATAGCGATTGAACAATTGAAATATGAGGAGAGTATATTCTTGAACTGGACTTGACAATATGAGCTAAAAGTATAAAACCATGTTCGCTTACATTTTTCTTTTTTATTCTTTTCTTTTATACATTATACATCATCGCTATTTATTACGATAACCACTACTTGCAACACTTGATCGTACTCACAAATATCTACCCAATTCCCTCAACAAAAAATATAAAGTAACCTATCAAGATGCCCCGCACTATCGCTTCTTCTTCTTCTGGCAACGCTGCCTCTTCATCAATAAACTCAGGTCCAAGCGGGACCTTCTTCGAATTTAGCGTGAAGCAAGGGAAAGAAGGAAGAAGTGGCTATGCACGAAAGGCTAAGGAAGCCAGAGATGAAAAAGAAAAAAGGAGAGAGATCCGCGAGGGCAAAAGAAGGGCCTGTTCTGTAGGCGTCCACAACGTCTCCGAGGAACACACCCCTCGCAAGCGGATCTACTCCCAAGACACGATTATCGGTGCAACAACTGATAACTCTTCCAGCCACCTTCAGTCGCCTTTTTCGTCTGAAGAAACAGCAGAGCAGAGAAAAACCTGTGCTAACCATGTTCTCGAATCTCTCCTCGCCAACAAGAATCCCTCAAAGACATTGCTGCAGTACAAGACATACTTGAAAGCTTGGCAGGTAAGTTTATTATTTTGTTTATTTGTTTATTTTATTTTTTAGGACAGTCAAATTTTTTTTTTCATGCTTCGTAATACAAAATATGCAAATACAATATAAATGATAGGTGTTCTGCAGCACAAGAGAAAAAGGGGACTGCAGCGTTGACGCAAGAAAAATGTTAAAGTTTTTCGAGGAGGTTGTTTTCAAGCGCACAGTAAAGAAATATATTGATTCAAACGCGGGATTCAGTGGCGTCGTTGGAAAGGCTTCATCACAAGCGGCCAGATCAGTGTTAGAGGGCAAGCTGACTCGCGAAAATAAGAGAAAACCAAAGGCTTGGAAAGCAGAGACAGAGGAAAGTATTTTTCAGGATGTTGTCCATGAGCTGGAGCAAAATTATAGCCAACGTAATTCACAGCCTTATGAGACTCCGGCATTTGAGGGGTTTGAGGAAGCCTCCCAAGGTGACAAAGACGATGCAGGAAGCGAAGACGAGGAACAAAATCACTCGCAACCAGCTGAAGAAGAGGCCCTCATGTCTGCTGAACCACAAGCCCTCATGGTCTCCTCCATTGCGGAAAGAGCAAAAAGTAAATCTAGTGTAATCATGTAACCAAAATAACCTTGTTCAAAGCTGTGGCTCACTCTTAATTGACATTCTGACACTTCATTTTAATCCAAATATAGTTCTTTCGCATCCGCAAACTGATGAGACTGGCCGAAGATTCATCTATGCGCCTATCTCGATAGAAACAGTGGATTGTGCCAGGAAGGCATTAATTTATCTCTACAAGGAGCAAGCGTCATCAAAGGTGGATTGGCCAAACCCTGCACCTCATCCGCGCAAGGATATCCCGCTGAAGGAGGCTATCGAGGAATACGAGGGGAAACTAGTGTACGACACCTCATTCCAGGGATCGACACGCACTGATACCTGTTCTATTCGCGACCCCTATAATGAGAAGCAGTTCATTCGGATGGCCCTCCATACGTGGGGTATGAAGCCAATGCTGCGGCTAAAAGGGAAGCGAGTGTACCATGCGGAAGGTAGATTTCAATATATGCGTGAGCGCCTTTGCATCTTGGCACGACACCATATGCTGCTGCGAGATGAAGACATTCGCAATCTTAACCTATCTGATGTGTTCAGTATCATGTCTTCCCATCCGGCAAGTGGGTCCCAGCCAGCTCTCGGACTTACGTTTTGCATATCTCGTGGCAAAACAAATAAAAAGGGTGTTAAGCTTTATGCAACCGCCTTTCGTCATAAAGTTTTTTACAGGTGTACTGTAGGAGCGTTTGGCTTCTACATGTTAGAACGATTTATGGTAAGAGATTTGTGCCATTCTTGTCTCTTCTTACTGCAATATAGGTTATGTACTTTCCTAGCTCGTTGTTAAATGTTGGGTCGCGTACCATTCCTATAATAGCTGGATAAGGAGGATGTCCCAAACTTCGCTGATCCTGACGATTGGTACAACATCAAGCTTTTGGTCGCGGCTAGTACGATCGAGAAGCGCAACGCAGGCCTTCGCAAGAATGCTGTTGCACCAAAGACTCAAATCGATGCCACAGCTTCTGTGATGCGAACCTGTGGCGTTTATTCGACCAAGGTCACTCACGCCGGTCGACACGCAGGAACATCAGATGCGTACCGTCTGGGCTTAGGCTTGGAGCATATCCGTCACCTTGGGCGTTGGGTAATGGGACAGATGGAGAGTTTCTATGCTCCAAAGAACCCCACCACTGGCGCGTTTTATATGGCTCATTTCAACAAGGAACAGGAACCTTATATCCTTGAGCGTAATCTCGTTATCCCTGACTTGGAGCTGCAGAGGAAAATTTTCCCTTGGATCGAAGGGAACTTTAACAGCAGCGCTAGAGAGAATGAGGAATGGGTCAAGGATTGTAATGATGCTATGACAGATGTAAACCCGGATCTCATCACGGAGGACGACCTGCACTGGAGAGGCTGGCAGGAGCGTATGCGCCATTCGACAGCGGCTAGGGATCAAGATGAAGAAACTACGGGAAGCTCCGCCGCAACGGCCAATAAGCTCATGAACAGCGCAATGATTGATCGAAGAGCTTTCCTACTATTGCTGGTACAAATGAGGAGAGTTATCCTTCAAGACGCCGTGCTGTACCTGAAGCCTGACAGCAAAGGAAGGACTCTGAGCAATAAGCTTTTAGAATCACTTCCAGAAATCTTTGAGAGTCAGCTGTTCCTTGACTTTCAGAGAGAGCTCCTTCGTGCGATCGAAGTGCATCAGCAGAGCGCCAATGTTGTCAATCCATTAGTCCCAGTTGACAAACATGTGGTCTCCAACGCGCTAAACAGCCTTAGTCACCAGAATGCATCTCTTGAAGCAGCTATTGCTCGGCAAGGAGCACAAATGGCACAGCAAGAAGCACAACAAAGGGCGCAGTTGTCTGCCATGAGCTCAGAGCTCGCGACGCTAAAGCAGCAAATGGAGATAGTGATACATTTATTGCAGGATCCGTCAGCTCGCCAAGCTCCAGCGCATCCCTTGAATTCAGCCGGTCTTCTTGGGCCATATCCCCATACTATGCCAAGCTATCCTGCTCTGCGCAGAGTCCCTCAACAGCAGCCGTTTGCGACGCGTCCCCCACAGGTACCTCAACAGCACTCATCGCTGGTTCAAGCTCCTCTACATTGCTTCCAACGAGCGCCAGAGCCATCGCATCACTCGTCCCCAGGCCCCAGCTCATCAAGCGCCACTTTCAAATGGAAAGCAGACCGCGGAAAGCTCACAGTGGCAGATGCTTGGGATGAGTTTCATGGGCCCCTTGCAGCATTTAAAAGATTGAACCCGAGTTGGCCAGTGAATACATCAGACCAAAGGGCCTACAATCGACGATATGAGTTAATTAGGCTGATCAACGAAGCAGCACGAAGGGAAGGTCGCAATCCTGAAGACATTGTTGCTGAGTGGTCACAGGCAAATGAGGGAAAGACTATTAACTCACTGTTGATATCCATGAAAGCTAGGGAGCAAGAGGATCCTGAAGATGACCAATAAATGACAATACACTTCCCAGGTAGGTAACAATAGCATATATAGAAGCATGTACGATAGTAACATATATAATAATAGATATAGTAATAAAATACTAAATGCATTAATTGCTTTGCCAAAAAAATAAAATAAAAAGAAATTGGTATGTTTGTGAGTCGCGCGTTTGCGATCCGTTTGGCGTTTGGTAGCGTCTAAACGCACTTTCTCCTCATTTCCGTTGAGGGAAATAAATGGCGAATAGTATGGAGTATGGATAAAGGGAATGTTAGTTTAGATTAACTTGACCAGATGTGGTCTGTAAAAAGTTAAATAATACCAGAATAGCAAGGTATCTGAAATACTAATGATTGAAAAGGAAGGAATATACGCCGTTTTCACTACATTTTACGCATTCTGTGGTTTATATTGACTACATTATACGCACTTTGACTTAAATATACGCCAAAATGGTTACACAAACAAGACACAGAGCAGTGACAGTCACATTTCAAGACACAGAGCACTCCCTGTCTTAATATTGATTCAGATTCGCTCTATATACTGAAGTACAAGGCATTTACCGCGAAACTTGGCTGTGTTAATTTGTTCTGAAAAAGATATCAGATCATTAAACTCACTTTAAATGCGCAAACCGGGCTTCATTACGACATCTGGGCTACATGGGCTCACAAAAGTGATGTTAGCCATGTACAGCCTTCCACATTTGAAAGTAGAAACACCAAATATTTTATGTTGGCTTCAACTTTAATGAATTTGACCCACTTATTGACACATCATTTGGGCCGCTGATAAGGCGTAATCGACGTCTGCCAAAAAATGGCCTGTCTCTTCCCCTGTATGCTCATATTTATTTTTTTGCTTTTTATCTCTTCCTTTTTCTTGTGTTTTTTCCATTCTCTTGTGTCTCATCTCCCTCACTGCGTGTTGGTTTTGTTCTTTATCTCTTTCCTCTTGACCATTCTTACATTTTTCTTTTATCTTTCCACAATGAGTGAATCCAACAAATACATTTTTTTCTTTTGTGCCAAAGGACTCGTGGAAAAAAAGAAAAAAGGTGAAGAAAAATTACTCCGTGAATATCATGATCATTTAAATCGTTATCACTTATCCACCCTGGTTGAGATCGAGTTAGAAAATACAACTGAACCTTTCCTCATTCATCGTAATCCCATGTCAGACATGGCCTTTCTCCTCTAATTTTTTTTTTTTTTTTTCAACCGTACATCTGTGTTACGACACTACAAGACCTGTAAAGGTTGCCGAAAATAATGCGCCGCCGGTCCCTCCAGCCTCGAATGCCGATACATGTTCAGATGGCCATTCATTACAGGATAGTTAAAAAACATGAGGCAGTAATTAAGATACTTTGTGAGAGGATAGACGCTCTTGAAGAGAGGTATGACATCCTTTATTTTTTGTTAATGAGTTAATAGATTCTTCTTTTTTTTTTTTTTTTTTTTTTTAGATTAAATAGAAAAGAAGTTCAATCGCCATGTCATGATAAATAGCGAACAAGAACAGTAGTTCTTTGTTATTATTTTAAATAAACGTCTTTTCATATAAAACGTTCGTTCTCCCTCATAACTTCAAAACAATAACTTTCAGTTCTCATCCTTTACTTCCTCATTACTCCATGGATATCTTGAAATATGTTGGAAAAAATCTTCCAACAAAAAAGCAGATCCCAAAAATAAGGTGTACACTCTTTTTTGTCTACTTGATGGAGAACCGCTTTCTGTCCTCATTGATGCATCTGCGCTCTCCTGCACCAGCGTTTGCCGACTCAAAAGCTTTATAATGGCAAGAGCAAATGTCAAAAAAAGATTCATTGCACGGGCTCGTGATATTGACAAAGCTTGAGAACATTCATAAGTTGTTTGACAATTTGAATCTTTGGCATAGCTTTTCGAATCAACAGAAATGAATTGAAAGAGACCACTCGATCATGACAGTGAGAATGACAATACTGCCGAGAGTAAAAAACGACTACGGCGTTCTAAAAGAACATTGGCAAGACATTTATGAAAAACCCGTTGAATAAAAAATCGATATTTATTTCTTTATGATTTATTTTCTATATTTTCTATATTTATATTTTTATATTTCTATATTTTTATATTATCATGTTTTTATATTTTTTATACATATCGAGAGGTTTGAATAATCCGGCAGGATGATGAAGCAGTGGTTTACAGCGTTTTTAATTGTTTTATCCATTTTAAAAAAACATTTATCCATTTAAGCTAATAAAATTATCCTATAAGTTATCCGAATGTGTCTGAAATATTATCCATTTTTTCAAACAAATAACCGAACCGACTGTCACAAATATCCAAACACCATGTCCTTTCCATGTCCCACAAAAGTCATGGTTAATTCCGCATGACCACTTGGACAAAATTTGCAAACACTTGGATAAATTTCTCAGCCCTTTTCGGCCAACTTTTTAACTTACCTTTGGATAAATTTTTTTATTCATTGGAACAATTTTAAAAAAAAACCGATAAAGTTTATTTTAAAATGGATAAAACAATTAAAAACGCTGTATTTCGCTGGAACTGTTCGCATGATGCAATGTAAGTCTTGGTGTCTCGGGCCATTCGTGGCCAAAAGAAAGTCCTTCGCATGGTTTCATATGTTTTCTCGAAGCCGAGGTGGCCAGCAATGGGAGAATCATGTGCATCATGAAGTAGGAGAGCGCGAATGTTAGGATCATTCGGGATACATAAACGTGTCTGTCCAGCGATGTTAATCCACAATAGGTCATCAGCAACAAAATAACGATCAGAGGGATTTGCCTCGCGGCAGCTTTCGTAAAGTGATCCTAACTTAAGGTCATATGGGTAACACTTTATCAGGCGCTGCCGTAAGCCTGGGTCCAAACTTATTTCTATGGAGTTAATCTGCTCACTGGCGGGATCCTGCGCCTTGTGGTCAGGCCTCCTTGAGAGAGCGTCGGGGACGATGTTGTCTTTGCCTGGTTTGTACTTGAAGTTGAAGTCGTATTCTTGTAGGAGTTCCATCCATCTGGCCTGTCTCCGAGTCAGGTTTGGCTGGGTTGGAAAATGCTGCAATGTGGCATGGTCAGTATAGTCAATAAAATGAGATCCATCCAAATAGTATCGCCATGTTCGTAAGGCGTGGACGACAGCTAGTAATTCTTGCTCATGGGTTGGGTAGTTTCGTTCTGCAGAGCTCAACTTTCGTGATGTAAAGGCAACAGGGCGCGATTCGCCCTTGTGATATGTTTGGAGCAAGACTGCGCCAATGGCGAAACCTGATGCATCAGTTTCGACGGAAGTTGCTAGGGCAGGGTCAAAAATTCTGAGTACGGGTGCCATGGTGACTGCCTGCTTCAGCCTTTCAAAGGCCTCTTGGTGAGGCTTGCTCCAGTAGAATGTTGTAGTTGAGCCTAACAGATCAGTAAGGGGAAGCGCGATATCAGCGTAGTGGTCGATGTATTGATGATAGAAGTTTGTTAATCCAAGGAACTGCATGACGTGGCGCTGTGTTGTGGGTGTTGGCCATTCTCTAACTGCCTTAACCAGTGCTCCGTTTGTTTTGAGTCCATCTTTGGATATAACATGGCCTAGGAACTCTGTCTCCTCTTGCATAAATGAACACTTGGAAAGCTTGCAAAAGAGGCCTGCCTTGCGTAGGAGCCTAAGAACGTTTCTGATGTCTTGTAGATGTTGCTCTTTGTTATCAGAATAAATCAGTATATCATCTAGGTAAACTACGGTGCATTTATCCAGCACAGGATCCAACACGTTGCGCATCATGACTGAAAAGGCGGCAGGTGCGCTGGTGAGTCCGAAAGGGACGACGTTAAACTCATAGTGACCGTAGCGTGTTCGAAATGCCGTTTTATGTCGGTCGTCTGGATGAACGCGCATTTGATGATATCCGGATAGTAAGTCGAGCTTTGTAAAAAATCGTGCTGTCCTGAAACGATCTATTAGCTCGTCGATTCTTGGTAGTGGATGGCGATTCTTACGGGTTATTTTGTTTAATCCTCTGTAGTCTACGCACATCCTCAGTCCGCCATCCTTCTTTTTAACGAATAAAACTGGTGCTCCGTAGGGTGATGTACTTGGAGAGATGAAGCCTTTGCGCAGTAGTTCTGTGAGTTGTGTTTTTAGTTCGTCTAATTCAGCAATTGATAAGCGAATGACTGGTCTTACAGGTGGATCGGTATTATTTTCAGTCTCGATTCGCATGCTATCGCCACGATCCTGAGGGAGTCCGTCCGGTAGTGTGTCAGGAAAGAGGTCTGGAAATTCTACTTGGACAATTTGTTGAATCGATTCGGGTAGTGTTGAGTCTAGGTTTGTTGGTGGTGAAGTGGTTCTTACTTGGGCCAAGAATGTTGTCGTTTCGGGTTCTAATGCTAATGCAGCAAAGTTTATGGCAGAAAGGCAATCTTGACGAGCGGAGGAGGAGGTATGCCCTCGACATTCCCATAGTATGTGTTTACCATCGTGTTCAAAGTGTAAATCGTTAGTGCGCCAGTTGATTTGGGGATTGACTGCGGTTAGCCAAGGTTTCCCTAGGATGAGATCATATTTTTTCGAGGGGTAGATAATACTTTGAATCTTTTCACCATAGGAACCATGTAAATAGTAACAATCAAAGGTGATCTTAGGTGGAATCGGAGGTCAAAGGATACTTTATTTGGCTATAACGTAGTGGACTATTTATACTGATAATTGATAGGGTTGGGGCTTGGTGTCTTGGCACTTGGGCTTGGCGTCTTGGCGCCTGGGGTGCGCGTGATAGTTGAGCCCTCCTCAAAGGTTTGAGTCAGTATTGTATAACACGTTTGCATCCTTCCCGTCAAAAATGAAGGAGATCATAAATCGAAGAAGAAAAGAGAAAAAAAAATTGATGGAAATAAAGAAAACGAAGAGAAGAGAGGAGAAATAAATAAAATAATAAATAAAATAAAAAAAAAAATTGATGTGGTGATGTCTGATTGGTTAAAATTACTGGTCATGCGGTTCATGCAGATCATGTGGATGAGGATGGGTGAATGAGTGGCGATGGAGTTGGTGAGTTCGTGTTGCATTCTTTCCTCATTCCTCTTTGCTTATTTCAAAAAAAAGGAAAAAAGTCTCCATGATGTCTTCACGCAAGGCTTCTCATCCAATGCCACCGCGTAAAGGTCGTGCTCCTTCTGGTGGCGTGTTTTCTGAAGTTGTATTGACACAGCGGTCGGCGGTACCAAGCTCCCAGGGTTCTTCAGATGACCCTGACGCCACACAGCCTTATTCTGTGCCTCAGGAGGAAGAGCTAGATACGAGGTTGGAATTGTCTCCACGTCTTTCACCTGTAATCTTGGGGCGGATGCTACCGAAGGAGGAGTATCCTGAGGTGGGCGATTCGCCAACTGTGAGGGAAGCCAGAGATCATGTGGAGTCGAGTACTTCAGCGACGTCGGGAGTGGAGGGGGCTGGGGTCCGTTTGGCTTCTGTAAGTTCGACGAGTGACAATGCACAGTGGGAAGCTGTTGATGGAGAGGATGGTCCTGAGGAGCCGGAGAGGCGACGGAAGAGGAGTCGTCATGAGGGACCGAGGCTGTCGATGATAAGAGAGTGTTCTTCGCTGATAGCGTTTGAGTTTCGTGCATTGCAGACCCAGGATGTGAGTGTAGAAGAGCGAGCACGGGAACGTCGTCGATTGATGGAGGAAATGGCGGTTGTTACCATGCTGGAGTGGGCAGAGAAGGGAGGTAAAAGGAAGAGAGGAAGAGAGGAAAGGAGATAGTAAAAGAAGAAAGGAAGAGAGAAGAGAAAAAAAAAGAAGAAAAATAAAGAAAAAAGAAACAGAGAAAAATAATTTTGGTGTTACTGTTGCATTTTTTGAAATTCCTCCAGTGCTTCTTTTGCATTAACTAGTGAGGATCTCCGTTCCCATGTTGCTTCTTCGTCAGGATATCCCTTCCATTTCACGAGCCACTTGGGGGTTCTGCCAAATAGTTTGTAATCCAGAATCTTTTCCACTTCATATTCTTCTTCGCCATCGACTAAATCTGGTGGGGGTCTGGCAGGTGCTCGTTCGCCGAAATTCTCCGGGGATTCGTGATAATGTCGTAATAAATCTGTATTGAAGACAGGGTGTTGTTTCATGTTCGGAGGTAGCTCGAGCTTGTACGCGTTGTCGTTGATCTTCTCTATGATTTTGAATGGTCCAATGAATTTTGGTTCCAACTTTTTGGAGGGTCGGTTTGCGTGAGCTGCGACAGTGATATGCTCCGTACTCAGTAAGACACTATCGCCTACAGTGAACCTGGCGGGTGATCGTGCTTTATCTGCTTGGCGTTTTTGGATGTCCTGAGCTGTCGCTATTGCGTCTTGTGCTTGCGCCAACGCAGAGGCTTGAGTGGAAATGAAGGTAGAGATAGCCGGTACATCTGTTGTTGGTGGTTTCAAGAGGGATGATGGGACAATGGGATGATGACCGTGGTTTAGGAAAAAGGGGGAAAACCCTGTGGAGGGGTTGACGGAGTTGTTG